TAGGGAACCTTGGATAACAAGAGATATTGTGAGCCTAATCAAAAAGAAAAGGGAAGCATTTATCAAGGCTACGAGGCTGGGAACGCATGATGCAAGGGTGGAAAACAAGGAAAGTCAAAAAGTAAGGAGTCAGGAGGGCTAAAAGAGGTCATGAAAAGTCATTGGCCAACAGGATTAAGGAAAATCCCAAGGATTTTTATACATATATAAAGAGCAAGAGGGTAGCCAGGCAGAGGGTTGGCCCACTCAAGGACAGGGAAGGGAATTTATGTGTGGAGCCAGAAGAAATGGGCAAGTTATTAAATGAGTATTTTGCGTCAGTATTCACCATAGAGAAGGACTTGATGGATGATGAGTCTGGGGGAGAGTGTGTAGATAGTTTGGGTCATGTTGAGATCAAAAGAGAGGAGGTATTGGGGGTTTTGAAAAACATTAAGGTAGACAAGTTCCCAAGGCCTGATGGGATATACCCCAGAATACTGAGAGGCCTTGAGGGAAATCTTTGTATCCTCACTGGCTACAGGGGAGGTCCCAGAGGATTGGAGAATAGCCAATGTTGTTCCTTTGTTTAAGAAGGGTGGCAAGAATAATCCAGCTAATTACAGGCCGGTGAACCTTACATCAGTGGTAGGGAAATTATTGGAGGGGATTCTTCGAGACAGGATTTAATCCCACTTGAAAATCAGTGGGCATATTAGCGAGAGGTAACATGGTTTTGTGAAGTGGTGGGGGGGGGGGCGCTCGTGTCTCACTAACTTGGTTGAGTTTTTTGAGGAAGTGACAAAGATGATCGATGAGGGTAGAGCAGTGGATGTTGTGTACATGGACTTCAGTAAGGCCTTTGACAAGGTCCCAACCGGCAGGCTGATACAGAAGGTAAAGTCGCACGGGGTCAGAGGTGAGCTTGGAAGATAGATAAAAAACTGGCTCGGTCATTGAAGATGGAGGGTAGCAGTGGAAGGGTGCATTTCTGAATGGAGGACTGTGACTAGTGGCGTTCCTCAGGGATCAGTGTTGGGACCTTTGCTGTTTGTAATATATAAATGCTTTGGAGGAAAACGTAACTGGTCTGATTAGAAAATTTGCCGATGACACAAAGGTTGGTGGAATTGCAGAGAGCTATGAGGACCGTCAAAGGATACAGCTGGATATAGATCGGCTGCTGACTTGGGCAGTGAAATGGCAGATAGCGTTTAATCTGGAAAAATGTGAGCTAATGCATTTCGGAAGCTCTAATCCAGATGGGAAATATGCAGTAAATGGCAGAACCGTTAAGAGTACTGATAGGCAGAGGGATCTGGGTGTACAGGTACACAGGTCACTGAAAATGGCAACACAGGTGGAGAAGGTAGTCAACGAGGCATATGGCATGCTTGCCTTCATCAGCCGGGGCATGGAGTTTAAAAATCAGCAGGTAATGTTGCAGCTTTATAGAACCATAGTTGGGCCGAATTTGGAATATTGTGTTCAATTCTGGTCGCCACACTACCAGAAAGAAGGATGTGGTGGCTTTGGAGAGGGTACAGAAAAGATTTACCAGGATGTTGCCTGGTATGGAGGGCATTAGCTATGAGGAGAGGTTGGGGAAACTTGGGTTGCTCTCACTGGAACTACGGAGGTTGAGGGGTGACCTGATAGAGTCTACGAAATTATGAAGGGCATGGGCAGACTGGACAGTCAGAAGCTTTTTCCCAGGGTGGAAGAGTCCGTTACCAGGGGCCATAGGTTTAAGGTGGGATAGGGCAAGGTTTAAAGGTGATGTATGAGACAAGTTTTTTTTACACAGAGGGTGGTGGGTGCCTGGAACTCGCTGCCGGGGTGTGTTGGAAGCAGATACGATAGTGACTTTTAAAGAGCGTCTTGACAAATACATGAATAGAACAGGAATAGAGGGATATGGTCCCCGGAAGGAGAGGGGGTTTTAGTTGTGACAGGCAGCATGTCGGTGCAGGCTTGGAGGGCTGAAGGGCCTGTTCCTGTGCTGTCATTTTTCTGTGTTCTTTACCCTTATTAGGCAGTGCATTCCAGATCATCACGACTTGCTACATCAGGGATATTCCTCAATGTACTTTTTATTTTTGGTCGATTACCTTACATCTGCGCATTCTGGTGACCAACCCTCCTGCCACCTCGAACAACTTCTCCTTACTTACTCTTTCAAAACCCTCAATGATTTGAAACCCTGCTACCAAATATTCCATTAAAATCCCTGATATAAGGAAAACAACCCCAGTATTTAGTCATAAAGTCACAGACATATACAGCATGGAAAGAGACACTTTAGTCCAACTTGTTCATGCCGACCAGATACCCTGCATGAATCTAGTCCCATTTGCCAGCATTTGGCCCACATTCCTCCAAACCCTTCCTACTCATACACCGATCCAGATGCCTTTTAAATGTTGTAATTGTACCAGCCTCCATCATTTCCTCTGGCAGCTTATTCCATATACGCACCACCCTCTGCTTGAAAAGGTTGCACCTTAGGTCGCTTTTATCTTGCCCCTCTCACCGTAAACCAATACCCTCTAGTTTTGGACTCCCCACCCTAGGGAAAAGACCTTGCCTATTTACCCTATCCATGCCCCTCATGATTTTGTACACCTCTATAAGCTCACCCCTCAGCCTCCAACGCTCCAGGGAAAATAGCCCCACCCTACGGCTCAAACCCTCCAACCCTGGTAACATCTTTGTAAATCTTTTCTGAACCCTTTCTAGTTTCACAACATCCTTCCTATAGCAGGGAGACTAGAATTGCACTCAGTACTTCAAAAGTCGCCTGACCATTGTCCTGTACAGTCACAACATGACCTCCCAACTCCTATACTCAATGCACTGATCAGTAAAGGCAAGCATACCAAATGCCTTCTTCACTATCCTGTCGGCCTGTGACTCCACTTTCAACGAACTATGAACTTGCACTCCAAGGTCTCTTTGTTCAGTAACACTCCCCAGGACCTTACCATTAAGTGTCTACGTCCTGCCCTGATTTGCCTTTCCAAAATGCAGCACCTCAAATTTATCCAAACGAACCCCATCTGCCACTCCTCGGCCCATCGGCCCATCTGATCAAGATCCGGTTGTGCTCTCAGGTAACCTTCTTTGCTGTCCACTACACTTCCAAATGTGGGGTCATCTGCAAATTTACCAACCATACCTCCTATGTACACATCCAAATCATTTATGTAAATGACAGAAAGCAGCGGACCCAACACCAATCCATGTGGCTCATCACTGGTCACAGACCTCCAATGTGAAAAGCCACCCTCCAACACCACCCTCTGTCTTCTACCTACAAGCCAGTTCTTATCCAAATAGCTAGTTTTCCCGGTATTCCCCATGATCTAACCTTGCTACCCAGTCTACCATGCAAAACCTTGTCGAACACCTTACTGAAGTCGACACAGATCACATCCACCACTCTGCCCTCATCAATTGTCTTTGTTACTTCTTCAAAAAACTCAATCAAGTTTGTGAGATACGATTTCCCACGTACAAAGCCATGTTGACTATCCCTAATCAGTCCTAACCTTTCCAAATACATGTAATTCCTGTCCCTCAGGATTCCCTCCAAGAACTTGCCCACCACCAATGTCAGACTTATGAGTCTATAGTTGCCTGGCTTTTCCTTACCATCTTTCTTAAACAACGTTAGCCAACCTCCAGTCTTCTGGCACATCACCTGTGGTTATCGATGATATAAATATCTCAGCAAGGGGCCCAGCAATCTCTTCCCTCACTTCATACAGAGTTCTAGGGTACACCTGATCAGGTCACAGGGATTTATCCACCTTTATGCATCTTAAGACATTTAGCACCTCCTCCTCATAAAACATGGACATTATTCAAGATGTCACTTTCTATTTCCCCATGTTCTCTATCTACCATATCCTTCTCCTCAGTAAACACTGATGCAAAACACTCGTTTAGTATCTCCCCCAACTCCTGCAGGTCCACATATAAGTGGCCTTGCTGATCAAGGGGCCCTATTCTCTCCCTAGTTATCCTTTTGTCCTTAACGTATTTAGAAAATCACCTTGCATTTTCCTTTACCCTATTTGCCAAAGCTATTTCATGTCCCCTTTCTGCCCTCGTGATTTTCGTCTTACGCATACTCTTACTGCCTTTCTCCCCTTCTAGGGATTCACTCGATCCCTACTGTCTATACCTTACAAATGCTTCCTTCTTATTCTTGACCAAAACCTCAATTTCTCTAGTCATCCACCATTCCCTACACCTACCAGCCTTGCCCTTCACCCTAACAGGAACATACTGTCTCCAGGCACTTGTTATCTCAGTTTTGAATACTTGCCAATTTCCAGCTGTGCCTTTACTTGCAATGATCTGACCGCAACCCCTCCTAACCCACACACACACACAATCAACTTTTCAAAGTTCTTGCCTAATACCATCAAAATTGGCCTTCCTCCATTTTAGAACTTTGACTTTTAGATCCGGTCTATCCTTTTCCATCACTATTTTAAAAAATAGAATTATGGTCACTGGCCCCTTAGTGGTCCCCCAGTGACACCTCAGTCATCTGCCCTGCCTTATTTTCCAAGGGTAAGTCAAGTTTTACACCTTCTCTAGTAGGTACATCCACCTTCTGAATCAGAATCTTGTCCTTATCTTTTCCTATGTCGCTAGTTCCAGAGTGTACAACAAGCTCCTGCTGGTCCCTCTCACCTTTGAGAATATTCTGCACCCTCTGGTCAAGGAGAGGATTCTGTATCTGGAGTTCCATAATTAGGTGTTTCAAAATTGAGTCAACATCACAACTCATTTGTTCTTTACGTTTGCAGCATTTTAACAAATTGAGACTGATATAGCTGACTGACAACTATTTATATTGCTGAAGATTAAAAGTAACAGCTAAGAATTGTCATCATTGCCTTTAAGCGAGGTATTTTAAGGAAATCCATATTATTCCAGTATTATGAAGCAACTTCAAAGTGCTATATCCAACACACACACGCGACTAAACATTATTCAGTATTTACCTTCAGAGATTTTGTTTCCTGATCCTTTAGCTCATCATCATCACGCATGTCTTTGCATTCACCCTCATTTTCATTTTCAACTTCAACTGTTGCTGGTTTAATATTTTGGATCTTTTCTTTCTCCTCTGTATGATCAAGGGTGTCATGATCTTTGTTGCATTCTTTCTTCTCTTTTTCTTTTTTAACATTCCCTTGCAGTGATGTGGGAAATTGAATGTTAGCCGACTTGCAATAGTCCTCAAAACCGCACAAGTATCTGGAAAAACAAACATCAAGGTTCTAAATTACTTAAGGAAAGAAACCCATACCAGTAGCTCCTCACCACCTGTCTGACAGAAGACTTTTAGTTACTGTAGGTTGCAGGAATAATGAACTGCTTAATGCCACACGGTGACATACAACACTGGAAGAAAATAAAAACTGCATTTCCAAAGCACTTTTCACAACTTTAAGAAGTACTTTTGAAGCATAATCACTTTTGTAACTTAAAAAGCAGAGGAGCCAAATTGCATATAGCAAGATGACACTGACCAAATAAGTATTTTTAGTAATGTTGAGAGGGGGATAAATGTTGGCTATAAAATTGGGTATGGAACTAATTGGATGGCTCTTTCAACATGTCAGTACAACCACAATGGTTTGAATGATCTACTTCTGTAATTTTTTTTGATTCATGATTCAATGTGCAGCAATTTTCAGGTTGAGTAGGGATACTCAAAAGACATAAATTATATTCTAAAATCAATGCTTAGTAAGATCATGTTACAAGATGACCACCACAGGACATTGATCATAGTGCATTAACTTTTATTCAGTTCTACAAACTGCAAAACAAAAACCCAACAAGAATAAGCTGTAGATCTCAAAACCACTGCTTCCCTCTACATGTACAATCCATCTCATGATGGATGTCACCCTGCAGTTTACTTTAAGGCAACGTCAAACTCAGGATCATCTTAGTCCGAAAACAGGAGAATTTGGAGTGGGGTAACCACAGCCTGTAAAGATGGAAAAGTGCACCAGATCTTTCAGCTATCAGGCAACTGATTGGCTGCTGACAGGCCTTTGTCTGGAAGTAGGACCCAGGAAGAGGAAATCCCAGCCGCTAATGGCCAGCCAGAGACTGAAAAGCACTGAACTCAACGGTGCCACAAGTGTGGCTACTGCTGGTAAAACACTGCCAGGCCTCACAAGGAGGATTACCCATGGAAAAAGTACTTTTTGTTGTTATGGGAAGGGAGAGGAGTCAGTGGGATCAGGAGCAATGGTGTGGGGGCAACTGTCAGTGTCGATCCCTCTATCCTTAGTGTGCAGATCATCAACTTTTTTGATATCATTGCAGTTGAAAAGACTAAAATTTACACAGAACACACACTATGGGTTTTGAAGCAAAACTCATGTAAGTGATCCAAGAGGTCTCTTATTATTGCTTCCTATATAATTCTCCACTAATGGATCACAATCGCTAAGTTTTTTCCTCTTCCAGATCATTCTGTCAATATATCCCACTTCAGATTCAGGAAAAATCACACTATTCATTAGGAATGTCCTTTTATGGATGCCTTCATTTTAATCCTGTTGTACTTGTATTTTGAGCATCTGCCATTTGTTGGACTTCACATTGCTACTTGCTTAACAGTAAAGTTAGTAGCTGGCATTATTCTGCAAACTCATGATATACGCATTATACTAGTGCCAAAATCTGTTGATAATTCAAAGTTGATAGCACAAGCAATTGTAAAAGACAATAGGAAAACATTGTAGCTGTGAGAACAGATTCAAACATGGAGTTTACTTTTACTGAAACAGGGAGGGCCAATTTACACAAAATATACAAAACTGAAAAATGCTATCACCTCGAATAATCTGTACTGGTGTCTATGCTCTACAGGAGTCTCCTTCTGTTCCATCTACTATTTACACTTTCAACATTTCTTTCCATTTCCTTTTCTTCCCCCATCAACGCAGCTAATTTGTTTCAACTACTTCCTGTGTGCGTGTTTCACGTACTAATCATTTGCCAAGGAAAGAAATTTCTCCTTATTTCAGTACTGGAATTTATAACTATCTTTTATTTATAGACTGTAGTTTACTAGAAAAGTCTTTGTAATTATAAAAAAGTTTCAGTCTTAGGATGAACTGCTTTCTCTGACTGGTAAGTCATTGTTTATACATTTTTGATTGTCATGGAGAATCAGATGAGTTGTTCGGAAGTATTTTTCTATTAAGAGTTAATTGAGCCCAGAACTCTCTTCTAAATGTTGGGAGACGCCTCTCTATCTTTCAGAGGAATGTTGCAATGTTGTGTAAAGTGCTTATGAATTGGAAAGCAGGAAGTTAGAATTTATCTGCAAAAATGATGGGGCGGGGGGAAGAATGCTAGTCCCTTTAAGAGGTGATATATTTTCCTAAGCTTGGAAGTTTGAACAAAAATGTGTCTGTAAACAGTTGAAGACGTATAGACAGTTTTGAAATTGAAACGTATCAATTGGCTGTATGATTGGAAACCTTAAGTTTATTTTGATGCTTTGGCAACCAGTTTGAAGATCCGCCAATTCATTTAAACCAAGCACTTAGAGATTGAAAACCAATTGAATTGAAATCTGATGGTTTTGACAACCAAGGGCCAACCTTATTATAAGAAAATTGACAGGTCATCGAAGGTATATAAGAAGAGGGTTTTTGTAAAACAGTGAGAGAGCGAACTGCCATCTAAAGAGTAAATATCTGGCTCTCACAGAAATTTTTAAGCTCTCTGAGAAAGCACTACTTATTCATAAAGGTACCACAGCACTCCTAGCTAAGATTCCTGATAGAAGAATTCACAAAGAAAGCACTCCTGATAGATTAATCAGTGGAGAAGGCAAAGAACATTCTGGAAGACTTAACCTGGCTAAACTTTTGATTGTCTAAGTTTTAACTTATTTTTCTTATTAATTGGGTTTATATAAGTGGGACTTGTGTTTATTGGAACAGCATACCAGTAGAATTTTGTTTAGTTAGGGAATAATTAGGAATTAGGGGGGAAATTGTTTGTTGTTTAGCAGTTCTGTTAATTTGTTCACTGTTAGGGTTAAATAAATAAATGGTTACTTGTTGCTTATAAAGTGAACATCAGGGACTTTCTTTAATTTAACCACTTTTTTTAACTGATTAGGCGAGGTGAGGTGAGCTTCCCTGTGTGTTTCAGGTTTAATTATTAGAAGGGGACCTCTACTCCCACCAGAACAGATTGATGACTTGTGTTTTGAATTTAATTATCAGAGGGGTTTGAACTCCCCTTCCTAACAGGACGGGGCAGATAAGCATCTTAAATAGTTGAGTAAATAGGGATATGGCTTAAAAAAAAGGGACCTTGGGATTGCAGATTCAGTCTCCTCATTTAAGGAAGGCCATAAATGTTTTGGAGGTGATTCACACAGCATTTATCAGGTTGGTAACTAGAACGATTGGCTTATCTTACAAGGATAGGTTGGACAGTTTTGGCTTATTACCAGAGTTTTGAAGAGCAAGTAGTGATTTGATTTAAGTATAATAAGGTCCTGAATGGACATGATGTTGCATCCTATGGGTGAGTGCAGAGCTGGGGTCACTGTTAAAAAGGTTGCCTGCGTGGGTTTCCTCCAGGTGCTCCAATTTTCTCCCACAGTCCAAAGATGTGCAGGCTAGATGGATTGGTCATACTAAACTGCCCATAGTGTTCAGGGATGTGTAGATTAGGTGGGTTAAAGGTGGATGGGTCTGGGTGGGCTGCTCTGAGGGTCAGTGTGGACTTGTTGGGCCGAAGGGCCTGTTTCCACACTTTACGGATTCTATAAAATATAAAAAAAAATTTGAGGATGGAGATTAGGAGAACTGTTTCTCTGAGTATTGCACTATTTTGGAACACTGATTCAGCAGATGGCAGAGATAGGGGTCATTGAATATTTTTAAAGGTGGGCATAGACAGATTTTTGTTAGGCAAAGGAATAAGAGATTGCAGAATAAATGGGAATGAGGAATTTGAAACAAACATATCAGCTCTGATCTAATTGAATGGTGCAGTAGACTCAAGAGCTGCATGGCTTCGGTTCCTAATTTTTAAAAAATTCATTGAGGTTGTGTGGACTTTGGTGATTGGGCCAGCATTCATTGCCCATCCTTAACTGGCTTTGAGAATGTGGTAGTGAAGTGAGCTGCCTTTTTGAATCACAACAGTCCATTTGATATTGATACATCCAAAATGCTATTGGGGAAGGAGCTCCCAAGATTTTAACCTAGTAATAAGCAAAGGAATTGTAATGTGTTTCCGAGTCAGCTTGTCACTAGTTTGGATGGGAACTTGGTGTTCTCACGTATCTGCTATCAATGTCCTTTTAGATGGTTGTGCTTGTGGGGTTGAAAGATGCCAGCCAAGGAACCTTGATGAATTTCTGCAGTGAATCTTGTAGATGGTACACACAGCTGCTACTGTACATTGGTAGCGGAAACAGTGAATGTACGTGAACGTCAAGCCTGTAAAGCAGGCTGCTTTGTCTACCAATTGTATTATTAGTTTCAAATTACTCAAGCAAAGAGCCAACACAGACACAATAAAAAAGTGACCATTCCTTGACTCTTACACTTTAGGGCGTAACATATTTAATACAGTAATCAAACTACGAAATTAAAAAGTTAATGGTTCATCAGGAGGTTCATCTCTGAGCACAAGAATACAAAAACACTAGTTTTACTCATTGCAAATGAAAATCTGCTGACGGAAGCAAATCCTACATCACCGGAGGTCATGGGTGGGTGGTATTAAAAGTAAACTATTAAGCAGAGACCCAGCTAATATTCTGAGGACCAGGGTTTGAATCGCACCACAGCAGATAGTAGAATTTGAATTGAGTAAATATCTGAAATTAAGGGTCAAATAATGACCATGAAACTATTGTTGATTCTTGGGTAAAAAAACTCATCTGATTTACAAATGTCCTTTAGAGAGAGCAACCCACAGCAATGTGGTTGACTCATAACTGTTCTTTGGTCAATTAGGGATAGGCAATAAATGCTGGCTGAGCTAATGACACCCACATCTGGTGAATGAATAAAAAAAGACAGATCACCTCTATCTGATGCACACCACAGCAAAACATGGGCTAACAGGGGAATTTACACGTGAAGGCACAGTTGATGTACTGAATGAGAACTTTGCATCTATTTGCCAAAGTTGCAGTAAGAGAAAGGGGAGGTAACTGAAACATCGAATTGACAAATATTTGGTAAAAAGGGTTT